TGTGTGTGGGGGGGGGGGGGGGCGTGTATCGACGAAATATTTCACTCTCGTTGGATTCGCGCCGACCACCGAGGGATGCTTCGCGCGCATGCACGGCCGAGCATATTCCTCGCTCATATGTGTGCGATGACAGATCGAACGAACGCAGTCGCCGTCGAAAGTCGAAAACGTTTCGGAGAGCGCGCGGTTGATCTCCGTTTACATATGACAACGATTCGTCATGTTGTGTAATTGACACATTTCATTCTTTTCTTGCAAATATGTACATATATTCGTTGTCATTTTTATACTTCGTTTCCGCGATCGTCTCAATCGAATCGTGTTCGAAGTAGAAGCGCGAGCTTGTGTATTATATATAATTTATTCATCTATGCATAATAATTAAAGATATCGAATTATTATACACATAAGACCTTTTTTATATTTAGTATCTACTATTGCAGATTATACTATTTTCGTTGTGTAAAAATTTAATTATTGTTTTAAATTTTGATCTTCATGTGGTGCTTTTAAATAAAGTGAAAACCGAAGCAAACAGTGTATCTTGAATGGTATAATTCAAATTTTTTAAATGTAATTTAGAGAATAACATTTAAATATAAATTCACAAGATTAGCCATGTTATTCCGAGTGGAGGTAAGCTAATTTTTTAAACTTAAGATTCAATGATTCATTGTCCGATTCACCAATCACTATACGAATAATTTTTAATAATAACTATATGAATATGAATAAAATTTTCTAAGTGCAATTGGATACATGTTGGAGATATACAAAACATATATATAATTACACTTACATTATTAATATTTTAATATATAACAAATACATTATCGTTATTTTTTATAATTTTATCTTTCTGAATTAAATAAAAGATGCAAGTTATTGCGAAAAAACATTTATAAATCTTTTAACATATAATCTTCTAGCACATTTAGCTTGTAATTAATTGTCAATATAATTATGAAACAATATATCGAGAGCAATATATCCAAGAAATTAAATAATAGAATTTTTTTAAATATTATTATGTGTTGAAAATAATCTAAGAAATCTATAAAAATATTTTTCTTGGCATATAACGATATAAATTGGGAATGGGTTAATCGCATCCTTTTTATCAATTGGGAGCGTTATCGAGGCCACGAGGACATTCTCTGCACAGGTGCCTGGCACGGCATGCGAGACCTTTCGATCGTTCTCTTTCGGCTAAAAGATATTTGTCATCCCTATGCCCTAATGTAGATCGTCGTCGTCGTCTCGGCAACACGCCGATCAAATCGATCTTGAAATAAAAAAAAGAGAGATAAAAACAAAGGGAGAGAGAGAGAGAGAGAGAGAGAGCGACGCGTGTGGTCTCAGTGCGCAGGTTTAAACCGACGCGATCACGAATTAAATAAGGCGGACTCATTGGGATATGAATAGCGAATAAATCTAATTGTTTTATTATCGATTATTCCCAGTTTATGACATATACTTGCGTCGCGTAAACTTCTCCATTTTTTTTTAGACAAGAAAGTAATTTGATATTTGGCCGAGAGAAAGATAGAATGGGGTTAAAGCTAATTGAATTAAATAGCGTGTTACAAATTAGTGTTCTACTTTTTCGAATTAGCATCAAGGATTTCTTAGTTTCTGTTTAAAGACGGGAATGAAAATTAGCGACGAAAGACACGCGAGATTCCTTCGTTTTAAACTTTATGTATCGCGAGACTTATTAATTTGTTATCCTAACAAAGAAAATTTTTCGCGCGGCTTTAAAGATTCTTTTCTTAACAAAAATTAATTATTTATTTTTATCTTTTCTATTTCTTTCCAACTAAATTTTAAAAATGCATTAAAATTCGATAACATCAGAAAAAAATATATACCGAAACAACTATTAATATTATTTTTTGAGATATCACTATGCACATATGTACACATATATTATTATTATTATATAGTAAATTTTTTTCATAAAATATTCTGGAAAATATGTTATTTAAATATTATTTATTTCTAACATTATATATATTATCGAATATCGTCTTTTAATTCAAAAAATGAAAGTGAAATAAAACAGGAGAGAAATTTTCTTCTTTACGCTCCTATTTTACACTACTTGAAGAAAATTTTCATTTTTCTCGTATCTATTGCGTTCTAAATCGGTTCTAACTTCAAAAGATAGCGAACGATAAAAATAAAACAGCGATAGTGTAGATACATACCTTATTACTAGTAAGGTATTATAGAACTTTTGCCATAACGTTTATCTCAACCCTCGCGCGTGTGAAATATTAAACGTGCGGCGGAATCAATGTTGTCTATGCACATATACTATACACTACGGTCATAAGGCGGATGGTATTTCTCTTGTCTGTCGACAGATATTGATGAGAATGTTGAACATGGTGCAAAAGTCAGATAACGGAAACGGCGCCGTCGACGATGCCGGCCTCCGCACGCACGCGAATTTGATCGACCGCGACTTGTTTGCCACGGCCTTGATGCATTAGACGACCGTGGATGCATCAGACGCAATCAGAATGTCATTCTTCGGACGGAAAATGGGTGGCGGTGGAGGTTCCGAGCATACTGGTCGTAACTTGCAGGACGGTCTGTTTCAGATCGCGTCGCAAGCTTGCCATATCCTAGTGCAAGTAAGTTGACCTCTGGAAAAACGTCTGCGATATTATTATAGTATCGAAATTTTTATAAACACAAAAAATTGATAAATAAAATATTGCAAATAGTATCCAAGACAAATAATATAATTAAAAATAGTACTGAGAATAATATATGGGAAAATGATATGACAAGACGAGGAGAGAAGATGGTATCGAAAATAATTACAGTTAGCATCGTATAAATGTTGACACTTCGCTGCTGATGCTGAGCATGTTTGACATCGTCAATTTATCTTCCATTGTTAAATATATAATATACATATATATCAAATTATATAGTCTATAGTGTTACATAACATGCGATAGAGAGATTATGGTCAAATAATTTCGTGAACGAAAAAAATAGAGGTAATTTGAGATGAAGAAACATCTGTACATTTACATTCTAGAATCGCATGCCATGCGTTATATCTTCATGTTTGATTCATATAAATCACAACACGTGTAACGTTTAAAATTGATGCGGACCTAATGGCGTGTGTCGTAATCTTAATCGATTCTCATAAACATCTCATTTATTGTATATGTTACTCGAGCAAAAATTTTTTTTTAATTTTTCCAGCAGATATAAAAAATTAATAAATTATCCGCATATATACACATGAGAGATATATCTTGTTGGGAGATTTTTTTAAGAATTATTAGAATATATCTCGAATTCTTCGTGCATATTTGCGAGATTGCGCATAAAGTTGAAATCGATTCTCAGCAAAAATTCAAATATAGCTGATTTTGTTATTGCTCAAAATATTCGATTTTAGAAACTTCTATAAAAAATATTATTAACTTATACTAGTAAATTCAATTAAAAATTCGCTAAATCTTATTATAAATTAAAATTTTATTAATGTAAAATATATATATATATCTACTTGAAATTATCTGAAAAACAGAATTTTATTACATATATGTAGCCTCGAAATTTAATTTACTTAAGTAATAAATCAATATTTTTTAAGTAAATGACATTATCTTTAATTTTTTCTTGTGTCTATTATAAATAATTTATCGTTTAAATAAAATGATAAAATATATCATCGTTTTTTTCTGTTAAGGTGAATAACACGCACAATGTTTCTTATGGGGGTAGCAATAATGTGAATAATATCGCGTATTCGAAATATTCCACGGCCGGCGGTTCGACTGCTCCGACAACATCGTCATCAACGAAAGGGACGACCGTCGACAAAACTTACCCGAAGTATGCGGAGCCTCGAGATAAAGACCAAGACGTGGTTGTATTGTTGCCACACCGCAAGAACAGAGCACCGCGACTTAAGCACAAATTATCGGTGAGTCTTCTCATGTTACTGGAATAAGATATAAATGTTACATAAAATCTACGCTATAATGATGATGGTATTATATAAAGAATTCAGAAAGAAGTATATCTAATTTATAAAGATTACTTTACTTACAATTTCGTAAATGAATCTTACTTATTGATCTGCTCCAATATTGTTCTGACACGTCCTTCCTCTCTTTTTCTCTATTTGCCTCTATAAAACTAACTTATAACAATAAAAAAATTCAAAAATATATAAAGCAATCTAAGAAAGTAATTTTACTAGTTGTATATTTAATGTTAACGTCAACGAGAAACTTATTATGTGCTTATTATTCAAGAGAAATTAAGTAATAATATATGTATATTTGAATAAAACTGAAAATTTCTCTAAAAATATAAGATGGAACATAATACATACATTATTATGAGAAAATAATATTTTTATTATTAATATTTTTATATCTTAAAAAAATGTAATATATACAATATATATAGTATATATATATGTATATATATTTGTGATGATCTCATTGAATAAAAATCTTTTTCTGTTCTCGACGTTTCTTTGTAATGTTGTTGGAAAAAATACCGATTAATTTTGCATCGAATTCATTAATTTTCCTAATGAATCATGAGCGGATCAACTTTCTGGTCACGCGTTCTTGTCGCGGATGACAAAGTCCGCGCGCTACATATCATATTAACAAGATAAAATCCAATGTTATCTTTACTCGAAAATGTGACGTAGAAATGTCAGTAAAAGACAACAATGCGAATTTCCTGTTTACACCAAATCGCTAGAGCAGATCTCCCAAAGAGTTCGAATCATGCAACAATATTGCATGCGTGATATATGTACTCTGTTGCAGACAGTGTCTGAAAATGTACGGTTGGACGTGAACTCTCCAGGCGGCGACGACGACTTGGAATTATGGGACCAGTCTGGATTTATGTTAAGGAACGATATGGACGATCCTCTCACGAATGCAAAGTACGTATCATATTTTTACATTTTACATAAAGATTAGAAATAGCGTAGCTTAAATTATATTCGCACAATATATAGTAACGATTCTTAAAAAAGATAATATTTTTATATTAAACATTTTTATATAGCCTCTTTTAATTATATAAAGATAATATAAAGATAATTTTACGAAAGAACGATATCACTCTTTTAATAATTATATTCTTAATTATTGCACGAACGAATTATTATTTCAAGCACACGTACACAAAAAGTTCGTTATTTTTATTCCTTTTGTACGTATAATTATCTTACAAAATAAAAAAAAATAAGCATTAAAAAAACTAGTGCACATCTACTTGAAGTATAAAAACCTTTTTTAGCTTGCATAAAAAAAATATTATTACGATAATCGCACATGGTGAATTTATATAATTCTGTCAAAGATGGGGCGCGCAGAATTGGTGCAGACCCAGTTGCATACCAATAACGATCATATTAATTTTGATCGTTCTGGTCGTACTTTTGCCATTGTTGGACCACGCGGCAGACAAATACACGCTAAATTCCACCGCATTGGATTCAGAATCTACATGCATGGATCATTGCAGTATATCCTTGGTGGAAACTATACCCATAGGCTTAAATTACAGTAATAATACTGCGCGACATAAGACTATCTATGATTCTTGGCTGGATCTTATTGGAATGGCACAGGAAACCATTGAAATCGCGTCACTTTATTGGACGATGAAAGGGGAAGATGTACTTCCCGATAACAGTGCTAAGGAGGTAAGTAATACGTAATATGGTGGTATCATGAGATATAGACAATTGCGGTTTGTTGACTATCGTTCGCTTAATAAATCAACTCACCACAGGGAGAAGAAGTGTTCCAGGCGCTCTTAGAAGCTGGAAGAGATAGACAGATTATATTAAAAATTGCACAGAATCTTCCTTCTCGCTTGTCCCCGAATGTCGATACACAAATTTTGGCTAGAAAAGCTAACGCAGTGGTAATTTTTTTAACATATATTTTAATGAGGTGGATGTGTCATTCAAGAAATAAAAATAATCATACGATAAATTTTTTGATATCTCACAATCAATCATAATTTATATATAATTAATAATAAGATCTCATTTGTACATATACATATAAGTAAGAGACAATTTTGTTATTTATTCATTAAGATTCGATTGATATAATTCCTCTTTTTTTTTTCCATGGTTATAAACGCAAACATATATTTTTATTCGAATTCAGGTGAGGGATTTAAATTTTGCTCGATTGTTGGGCGGCGGTGTACTTCATACGAAATTGTGGCTCATCGATCGTACTCACTTATACGTTGGCTCAGCCAATATGGATTGGAGATCCCTTTCACAAGTAAAGGAACTCGGTTTGGTGGCGTTGAATTGTTCCTGTTTAGCAAACGATTACGCTAAAATATTTGATGTAAGCAGGAATATATATAAATTTGTGAAAACAATACGCTGTAATGCTACGTTTACTGTGTTTTGGAAATTATTTCATATAATTAGCATTGATTTTTTTTTACTTTATAGGTATATTGGAAGTTAGGCGAAGATGGTAAAGTGCCTTCCACGTGGCCAGATTCTTTCAGCACAAAAATAAATATAGATAATCCTATGAATTTTACATACATGGAAAATAAGTACAAAATATTTATCGCGGTTAGTAACATTCGTTAATAAATGCGTTACAAAACGCAGAAATTATTTTATAGAATTAGCCATAAAAAATATGAGAAATATAAATACTAAAATATTGTAGAGCTCACCTCCACCATTTTCGCCGAAAGGCAGAAGCAACGATCTAGACGCGATCTTGCATTGTATTGCTAAAGCGGAAAAATTTATTTATATCTCTGTGATGGATTATTTCCCATTAACAATATATTCTGCACAAATAAAGTATGTATAAAGATTAAAAATTATATATGTTTATATATGTGTGTGTAATTCAATTTCTAAAAAAAATATTATAAAATAAGTATAAATTATAGTTTAAATTAAAATGATAGCTGAAATGATGCGTAGAATGTCTTTAAACTGTTAATTAATATGTCGTGAATATCCAATATTTTATATGCTTCATATGATATTGCATTATCGTTCTGTGGTGTTATTTCGTTTCTTCTACCAATAACAGTTTCACGTTCATCTTACAGATATTGGCCTATAATAGACAATGCTCTGAGAGCGGCAGCCATCGAACGTAAAATAGACGTGCGCCTTTTGATTTCCTGGTGGAAACATTCAAGACCGTCCGAATCGTATTTTCTTAAATCGTTGCAAGATCTGACGCATTCTTACACCAATGTCAAAATTGAAGTAGTAAGTATATTCTTCACATGTACGTATAAATACGGTCAATTTGTCGATCACGACCATTTGTTTAATATTTACAGAAAAGATTTATCGTACCCACTTACCCGGACGTAGATAGAATACCGTTCGCGAGAGTAAACCACAATAAATATATGGTCACCGATCTAGCAGCTTATATAGGAACGAGCAATTGGTCGGGTGATTACTTTATTGACACAGCCGGTAAGTTATTGCAATGCTGCTTTTATGAAAACAAAATAACACAAATTAAAGTAGTAATCAAATTCTACGTGTGCCGTTTTTATAAATTACTTAAAATATTAAATAAGAGTAGCTTTTTTTATTATTTTTTTCTATAAAAATTTATTTTAATGCAAATGTTCAAATTCAGGTATCGGTACTGTATTTGAAAGCGTTGGACGTCAAAATAGGGATAATATAAGACAACAGCTGGAAAATATCTTCCACCGCGATTGGTATTCCAACTATTCGTTCCCGCTATATAATATAAGTGAGACGCGTTTCGAAAACTCATGGGGTTTATCGAGAAATTCATATCAGCGTTTGTTATATTAAACTTATATACATACATAATTATAATATATATATATACATACATACATATATATGTATATATACTCGCCTTGATCACGATTTTTAATTGTGAAAAATTTTATCGTATCGATTTGCAGAAAGAGAATTTATCTCATTTCTCAATAGAAACAAACAAAATTCATTTTTCTTTATTGTGTTCTCGACTTATATGTATATATATATAATAATTTTTAGATTTTTTTAAAATTTTCATGAAACTTATGATTGTGCGCAGTAAGTGAATCATTGTAATATCTGGATTTATCGTTGTATATGCTACTGTCTATTTGTGAGATTTTATATGTTATATACACGTGACGTAACGTGTGCAACTTTTTTTACTGATGTTCAGAAATTAAATTACGAAATATTGTAGCATTAACAGAGGCTGTTCTAGCGGTATAAGTTGGCTTATATTTAGGAATATGTAAATTAATATAACATTTTTTATAAAAATATTTTTTGAAGTATAATTGCATTATCATAACCGTGAGTTTTAATTTAAGATTAATAGATTTACAGTCTATTTAGTCTTTAAATACTTTTTATTTAATATGCGATCTTCTTACATCTGTGTGTTAGTAATTAAGTTTTTCTTTCAAATTCTTTTTTCAAAATCCGCCTTCTGAATCTATTTTTAAACCTTTATTTCTCTTTAAAATTTCCGCCGAAAATACGCCGATTAAAATGATAGACGGTATCAGTTCTTCCTTCATGCTGATCTCTTTTTATCTCTTGACCGCACAATCCATATCGTACATTTGCAAGTACACTTGTGTGCCTAACAAGCATATCATTTAACAAAAAGGATAAAACGTGTCTTACAAAAATTATTGACAGGCATGGCAATATTAATCTGCATTTGAAAAATATATCGATTCTGCGTTCTTCCATATAATCCGTGACCTCCTTAGAACTCATATCTAATTGTTATTTGTGTTGTGTCTGTTTAGTAGTATATATATATATATACAAAAAAGGGACCTGATTATTAACGGTGTTTCAATAAGTATTAAAAAAAAATAAAACATTCTGAAATGGTTTTTATCCCGATTAAAAATAAAGGCTACTATAATGGCAACTACGAGGCTACAACAAGTCTTGCAAGTCGTGCAAAACATTGATAAGATTAAGTAATACTGCGTAATTAAATAATTAAGGTTTTTACATATTAATCTTCGTGTATAATTATGTTCATATATCTTATGTGCACAAATTGAATATTGTTATGAAAAAAAGATGATAATCATATCAATTTAGTTTTTGTTATAATACTTTTGTTATAGTACTAATACATACAAGGTATCTCTAAAGTCCATTATTCCCACCCCTTGTATTTCAGAAACAGTTTAAAATTACGAAAAACTATGAAACACGTTTTTGATCATTTCTAGAAATTACTCTTTTAAAGGGATTAGAGGAATTGCCCTCTTAAGGAGATATTTCACAGGGACCGACAGAGGAGAAGACAAACAGATTTTTTCAACGTATCAACCTTCGGTTTGCGCCAAAAATTTTCTTTTTTTATGCCCTTTCAAACGATGGACTATGATATGAGGGGGATTCTATTTGAAATTTTTTAGTTGGGGTTTTCTTGGGACAACTCCTTAAGGGGGTAATCTTCTCCAACCCTCTTAAAAGAGTAAAGTAGTCTCTCGAAATGATTAAACACGTGTTTCACGATAATTTTGTACCGTTTCCGAAATATAGGAGGTAAGAACGGATTTTAGAGACATCCTATATAATCTAAGTATCGAAATGATTGGCTTTGACCAGAAAAGCCACCGCTTAAAGATTAGATTAGAATTAATAAAATACATAATTGTAATAGTATTCAACGATACCAATGGCGGTGAAAAAGAGACGATGATATCTAAATCTAAATTATCAGTTAAGAACGATAATTGTTTGGAAATGCGCAGTTTATATCAATAACACAGATCTGCATAATTTTACATTTTTTCTGCGGTCTGAAAAAGAAGAGTAGTTTCCTATAGTTTTTTGTGCGCTGAATCCAAATCCGCCAGGCAAAATGGAAACGAATCTGATGTGCAAAAGACTTCAAAAACAGCTTAAATGAAGTTTGAACATAGAATTTTAATATAAAAATATCGAATCTTTTATCGCAGGTACCATCGAACTTTAGGCGCGCTTTGTTTTTAGGGGTGCGTGTAGTCGCAAGTTGTGTCAAGAATAAGATTGCTCGTTTGAGTTCTTTCTGAAATCTCTTGCAGATCGAGTTCGTCTGCTACGAATTTTCAAAAATGGTAAAAAACGCGTTTTTGGGGGGTTTCAACTCCACTTCTCTCGAAAACCTGACGTGATAAGCCATTTTACGTTATAGATTTGGATTCAGCGCACAAAAAACTATAAGAAACTATCCTTTTTCAGAGCGCAAAATCATGCAAACCTGTGTAATACATTATATCTTAAAATAGAAATTTCTTGAGCAGTATGTGTATGTTATTATTTCTTTTTGTTATGCATATTATTTAAGATTACACAATGCTATAGAAAAAGAAAGAAAGAAAAATGATATATACAAGAAAGTTTTGTGACTTAATAAGGGGCCAAAATACTTTTGTATAGACTATTTTTCTGTACAGCTTTGAATAATGCAAATATCAGCAATAAAAATTAACAAAGACTACTGTTCAAAAACTTATGGCCGGAATTCATAGTCCGTTCTTATATTTAAGATCATCTCAAGTATGGTCTTAAGATGCTGTGTGGCCATTTCATTGGTTGAATAGAATCTTAAGACGACCCAAGACCACACTTAAGACGATCTTGAATGTAAGAATAGACTATAAATACCGGCCTATGATTTACATAACAAAATTTAAAATTTTCAGTATATTGTACTCAAATCTTACCACACAAAAAAAAAGAAACAAGATCGAAAAAGAAATGAATAAATTAATATCGTCTTTATTTGAAGTATTTCAATATTCACTATTTATATAATAATATTTAAAGTATTAGTAAAGCGCTAGTTTTATTAAATAAAAAAAAAAACATCAAACAGCGAGCGATATCGAGCGACTCTATTAAAAAATTATTGACAAGGAAATGTTAATATCACGACAATCTGCGATCTATGTTCTGTGAAATTAATTTGGAACAGAAAAATGTAGTATAATGTATGAATTCAAGATATAAAACTTATATTATATATTCTTAAAATAAAAACTTTTGCTTTTCGAAATATACCATGATATATTGCGAATATAGAGAATACATATAGAAATTATATAAATATTCCTCCGTTATATTTGTGCCTTGCTTTAATAAGTGTAATTATATAATACAAAGCGACAAAGTATATTTTAGTGAATAGATCTCAATTTTATAAGCAGATCCCTCTCTAAAAAAGTATGTTACTTGTTACTTGCATTATTGCCTCTTCTCCGCGAGGTTGATCAGTTGTCTCGTTTGTGCGCTATGACTTGTGTCGTTTATGGCTGTCACTGAATTTCGACAAATTCGGTTTACTATTATATTTTCTCCTTTATTCATTAAATTATTATTAATTTCAGTCAAATGTACGCGTACTTGCGACACAGATTTTCAAACCCACTTTTCTTGATAACAAAGCTTCAATCAAAGAAAAATTATTGAATTATTTTGATTTATTTTAAGGCGTAGAATCATCTCTTTTTTAGTTGTATTACAAATTCTGGCTCAGTATTTACTATCTATCCTAATGGAAAAACTGACGCGACGTTGATCTGTTTTATTGCAACAAAATGCGTTTTTGATTGTGCTTATTAAACATTTATTCCTTTTAACTAAAAAAAATCATTACTAAAATCGTTACATGTCTGTAAAATTTGAGCAAATTTTTATACATGTACACCCTTGAGATATTTATATTTTAATCTTTAAGATACATATCTGGAAGATACAACAGAAATGTCTTAACAGACGAATTTATGCACATATCAGCACATTTATATATTTTGCATATACCCGGTGCGTTCAAAAAGTTCCGAGACTGATTTTTTTTTGAATATGTACTAATTGCACTATCTCTCAATCAATACTGGAACTAGGTAGTATTAGCTTTTTTTGAGTAACCCATAATTTTTTCATTATGTTAAGTGCAGTAGTTTTTGGGTTTTTGGGTCTCTCTCTACCTATCTATTTTTATCTTTTTTCTCTTTTGCCTTTTCTTCGTCTTTTGCTTCCTCACAGAGGAAGCTTTGTTTTCGTGACAAAATTTTTTTTCGAATTTTTATGCCAATGTGTTCAGAACGTTCGAAAACGTCAAAAAATTATGTTCCTAAAAAATATATGTATGTATGTATGTATGTACGCGATATATTGTGCAACCTCTAACTTCCGCAATTTTTGAGATATCTAGTTAAATTTTTTTACATGGATAGAATATTATTAAAGAATGGTTGGTATTGAATTTGGTGAGAATCGGTGAAAAGATTCACTTTTTATAAAATTTTGAATTTTTGAGAAATGTCTGTACACGTTGTAACTTTCGCAAATTTTGAGATATCGGGTTAAATTTTTTTGCATAGATAGATTATTATTAAAGAATGGTTGGTATTGAATTTGGTGAGAATCGGTGAAAGGGTTCATTTTTTATAAAATTTTGAATTTTTTAAGAAATGTCTGTACACGTTGTAACTTTCGCAATGAATATATATAAAAATAAAAAAGTGTGTAAATTAGAAAATAGCATATTGCTTCTTTATCTTTTTATTTCGCTCATAAAACTTCCTCTATGAGAAAGCAAAAATTGAAAAACCTGCTTGCTTTAAGGAGCTTAAGCTTTGTGAGATAAAATGATGAGGAAGCAATGTGCAAGTTTCTAATTTGCACAATTTTCAGCTTGTTTTAACTTTATTTTTTTTAATTTAATTTTTTTAACGACACAAGTCATAACGAGACAACCAATCAGCATTACGGAAAAGAGGCAATAATGCATGTAACATGTATCTTTTTTAGAGAGGGATACTTTATATAATTATTAATTGCATTTATGTTATGTAAGATTAAAATATAGAATACACGAGCAACTTCTTTTTATTAAAGGTTAAGAATATGTTAATATATACTGTACTCGTCTATTCTCTATTTTTTCATCATACTTCTTATTTTAATTAGTTCCTGCAAGACATTTAAAATAATTGCCAAGTATTCTTTTTATGTATTATGTACAAATTAAAAATACTCTCCGTGAGTACCCGTCGCGAGAACAAATGTCGAAGTTTGCACCGGCTAATGTCGCGGAGTGATTAGCAGTTCTCGGTTAAGGTCAATTATACTGTTGATCGATCCGGTTTTTTGCGAAAGTCATTATCAATAATTATCTTTAATCCGTATACCAAATGTTTGAAAAACAACTCGGAAACGTCTGGTGTCGGTGCGATGCAGAGAGGGGGTTGCGAAAAGAACCGTACTTGCTTTCACTCAAAAAATACTGTGTCTACTTTATTAATATCTTTAAAATCAAAATCTTACACGCTAGTTTAGTCGGTAATAATTACACAACATTACACGTAATGCTTTAGGCAAAAAGGAGATATTACAAGATTTAATGAGATGTGGTTCGCGAGTTATGAGAGATTTCGCAGCGAAAAAAATCATTTACATTTCAATCCGTGACCCGCACTGTTATTTATTCTTGTTATTGATAATATTTATTCATAATGATCAAATGAGAAGTTTTCCGAGACAGATTAAAGATAATTAATGATAATGACTTGCGCAGAGAACCGAACCAGTGAGCAGTATAATTGATCTTAACCGAGAAATACTCACGTATTGAAAAATATTTAAAACTGATTTTTAAATATTAAAAGAAAGAATTGCTATATCTGTATGTGATAGTTATGATTGTAAATTTTTTTAAAAATTATTTTACAGGGTGTCCCCAATTTAAATGTCAAAACTTTAGGAATAAAAATTGTAGAATATGGAATTAAGAAAAGAGAGTGAGTTAAAATCCTTCTGAGGTAAAATTAGAGGATTGTAGATAAATACGCGACAACGTGAAATTTTGTTTCTAATCTAATTTTACCTCAGGAGGTAAATTTTAACTCACTCTCTTTTCTTAATTCCATGTTCTACAATTTTTATTTTATAATACTTTTTGATAAATCTAATAATTTTAGTGTTGTTTTAAGTTTTTTGGTGAAAATTATTTGTTTCATTTTTTGCGTTTTTCTTCAAAACGAAGCAAAAACGATCAAATCTCTAAAGGACTTTTTGTCTCAGTTTATCGGTCCCCTACACGCTCCTAAAGTTTTGACATTTAAATTGGGGACACCCTGTATATATATTATATATACTTTTATTACATGTTTTATATATTTTTATTATATATATTATATATATTTTATTGCCTCCATATTTTTTGCTCTGTTACACTTCTCAGTATCTTTCCAAAGAAGCGGTACCAGACCCAAATAATTGAGAACGCATTTAGGTCACCTGCGGCAATTCTTGAGTGTGCGGATATGCTTTTACCTGCTCGTGAACGGGATTCCAGTCAGTCTCCACAGTAACGTTTTATCCGGGTAACCGCTATTAACCAATCAAAATTTTCATCAAGTCGGTATTGCGGTATCACAGTAGTATAACTATTTCTTCTCCTTGTTCGCATTTCATTTACATTAGTAATCATCGCGAATCATCTCCATCGAATCTATCCTTAAAAAAACTGGAATTCAAGTCTATTTTTTAGAAGCAGAAGAACATTACTTAAAAAATTAACCAAATTAATCCATTATAAGAATCATTTATAATAATATATATACATGATTAGAATTTTTTTATCGCCGCATTGCGAAATAAAATGTGTTTTGGAGATAAACTGGTTTTTCGCCATCTGAAACTTGCAACATAATTTCATATATTAATTTTATATGAAGATTTTAATGACATGAATTTATAGTATTTTGCTTATACTATATAATAAAGTGATTTAACCTTGTGCCAAACCAAAAATATTTTTTGTTTCTAAACAGATAGTAAACAATAAATTTTCTCTATAATATTCTATCAAGCATATAAAAAAATTACTCAGATATCTATTCTTGGATGCTTATATTTGTAATATAATATAAATCTTCTCTCATTCTATCGTTCTCTTTTCTATCTACTTTATATATATTCTTTGTTATAAAAAGTGTGAAAAACATCAGAATAAAATGGTGACATCTTTTTCAACCTCGCTACTATTCAAAGATTAATGATTTGCCGAAGAAATCGTTTTGATTCGCACATATCCGTTTTCACGTTCTCCGAGACACCATTTATCTTTAGAAAATATCTATAGAATATATATCTTTAACCATCCTTTAGTTATTTGCGTAAACAGTGGTACAAGTGGTGGAAGCGGAGGAAGAAGACAAACACAAAAGGAGGGATACTCAATCAGGGAGGGGTACGAAGAAGTAGGTGTGGGAAAAGTGGGACCACTGCGGGGCTCAACCGGAGTGACAAAATACGGATTGTTTTACTCGCCAAAAGTCGACGAGGCAGAAAAGAGGATCGATAGATCCACGCGTGCGAGGAGAAAGTTATTACATACATACCTGCCCGGTATTCTACCTGACTATCTGACTACTTGTTCGAGCATTTAAGCCAGCGCGATCATCCGTCTTGGTTGCCTGCCTACCTGCCTGTCTATACCCGGTACCGTTGACGCTGTGATCTGGGGATTTCCTTTGTTAATCATCTCTCGACATTAAGGTTAGTGGAAGATTAATCAATCACCGATTGATTTGCAAAACACGTCCGCACATAACGTGTGCGGTGAATTTGCCATGCTCATTTTTTTCTATAGTTATAACTTATCACTCGTTGCTCTATTATATTGTCTCGGCTAAGTTGTTCTCCAGTCGACTTCGACTACTCGCGAGTACGGTACGTAGTGAAACGTTTCTGCCGATAGAAGCGTAAGTGAGTCT